TTAGATCATTTGGGGCAGGAAAGAGAAACAAGGTAGATCTGTCTCCCCAGCTAGAGTGTGAGTTGTACCCGCAGGGGGGCAGGGACCAGCTCCCTCCATGAGGGCTCCGGCCAGCAGCCAGCCCATCTGCTGAACAGGGGTAGGGACTGGATGGGGGAACAAGAGAGACAGGCAGCGGAGATGCTGGTGGAGAAGCACCAGGCACCAGCGGGCACTCAGGAGGCATTAGTGTGCCCCCTCCCCTCCCCATCTGGAAAGTCTCCAGCCTGGGACCCGGTCCCTGGACTCAGACCCCCGTGCTCTTCCCTGGGCCTTAGCGGTCCTTATGCAGGGTCAGGGTGTGTCCCGGGGACCTGGATGGTGTCAGACTTTTGAAATCTGCGGGGACCGCGGGGACCCTGGGCAGGGCGGCCGCCTCTGGCCTGCTGCACCCCCAAATGCCCCCTCTCGTGACCCCCCCTCTGGCTGATAGGTCCCTGGGCCCCCAAAGCACTATCAGTGTGGACCTTGGAATGACAGGGACCCACTTCCCAGCCCTTCTCCTCCTCCTACTCAACCACTCCCCAGTAAGGCCTTTATCTGGAGACTGGATTTTGAATTTTCCGCCGCAGGAGATGTCGGGGAGCCGGCCTTGCTGAAGGTCCGCGGTGCCCTCGGCCGGGCCGGGCCGCCTTCATCCCTGTGCCACCTGCCCCGGTCCCGGCCCGGCCCCGAACTGCCCGGCGCACTCACCTCTCTCGGTCCCGGGCGCAGGAGGCCGGATCGTGGCGGGCGGGAGCGGCGGGACGCGGGGACCGGGAGGGGCCCGGCCGGGGACGAGGTGCTGGCGGCCCTGCGCCCCGGCTCCAGCGCGCGCGCCGCCGCGGGAGGGGGTGGAGGGGGGCGGAGGCTCCCGGCGGGCTCTGAGCAGCCGCCCCAGGGATGGGGGGGGTGCAGCTCCACACCCATTGCGCTCCCGTGGGGAGCGCCCAGGGGCTCAGAGATTCTTTCCCGGCTCTTTATTGGGGGTCTCTTGGAGGAGAGGGTTTGGGGAGCAGTGGCCGGCTTTGCCTCTGCCGGCTCTCACCGTGCACGAGGTGACCCGTAATCGTCACCCCAGTGGGCTGGGCCAAAAGGCGAGAGCCTGCAAAGGGGACGACGGGTCTGAGCGCTGCCATGGTCCCTCCTCACCCCTCCCCAGCACGTGCCCGGCCGCCAGGGGCCCCAGGCTCCTGACTGCATGCTGTTCACTGCCCCATAGATCCAGAGGTCATGGGCTTTCCTCAGGCCCACTCTTTCCCTCTACTCGCTACCGCTGCAGAAGCGCGAGGAGGGGCCACGGGAGGAGACAGAGAAGCCTGGGCCGGGGATTTCAGCCTCCAGGGACCAGCTCGCTGTGCAGGAAGAACACCGCGGCCACCCAGGCCACCCACACCAGGCGGTCAGCTCTTCCTAGCTTCCTCCCTCTTCTTCCTCACTTCTCAGCTGTTCTGTCTCTGCTTTTTCAGCCCATCGCTAAAAAGGTTGTGCTCCCAGGAGCAAGCAGGAATTGTGCAAGCCAGTTCTTAAACAGTCCTCATTAAAAATTTGGGGCGCCTGGGTGGCTTAGTCGGTTAAGCGTCCGACTTTCGCTCAGGTCATGATCTCGCGGTTTGTGGGTTCGAGCCCCGCGTCGGCTCTGTGCTGACTGCCAGCTCAGAGCCTGGAGCCTGTTTCAGTCTGTGACTCCCTCTCTCTCTGACCCTCCCCTGCTCATGCTGTCTCTCTCTCTCTCTCTCTTAGAAATAAATAAAAAACATTTTAAAAAAATAAATAAATAAAAATAAAAATTAACTCATGTAGGGGCTCCTGGGTGGCTCAGTCAACTTAAGCATTGGACTTCAGCTCAGGTCATGATCTGACAGTTGGTGAATTCAAGCTCCGAGTGGAGACCTGTGCTGACAGTTCAGAGCCTGGACCCGCTTTGGATTCTCTCTCTCTGCCCCGCCGCTGCTCACGCTCTCTCTCTCAAGAAGAAATAAACATTAAAAAAACTAACTTATGTAAACCTTTGATTAAATACTGCATATTAAAAGCAAAGGTAATAAATACATAAAACTTGCTGCTTCCTAATTATTCTGCCACTGCGTATGCTTTTGAGGTTTACACGCACTGTGTCGGTGCAGAGGTGATGTGCTGTGTAACACGCCCCTCACATCTCCCCCAACCTCCGTGGTAGGTGACACCACTTCGGCAGCTTGGACTCGGCCATGGTGAGAGTATTTACACCACAGAAATTGGCAGATATTACCAATCAGGGCTTGACTGATGTTTTCTTCCATGTCTAGACTTAAGAAAACGACAGAGAAAATGTTAACAGTGCAGAGAAAACTTAAAAGTATGTCGTGGGTGCATATTTATGGCATGTAAGCGGTACGTCTATATTTTTTTCAAAAGTGTGGTCGGTCTGTAGCCATGACAATGGGACAGCGCAAAGCCGAGGAAACTCACTCGTCCTGCGTTCAGAGCGCGTTCAGAGCTACTATGTGACCAGGCAGTCACCCTGTCGTCCACAGAGGATGACTGTGGACATGCTGATTCATTTTGCTTTCATCTCACTGGTTAACGTAAAATGAAAATTCAACCAACATTCCTGTTGGAATGATACTGACATATGTCAGTGGCAAGCATAGGCTGGCTATAAACACACAAGTGTGGCAAAAATCACTGAGAGCTTTCTAGGGGAATCAGTTGGCTGTATGGGTTTTGAGGCAGGAAGTATTACATATGTTATTATTTGTACACATCATTACACATCTTTATATCAGCAAATTTTTATGTATGTGTACATGTATACATATATGTATACACATTCTTTCCCCTTTGGGCTGGATGTTATTTACGCTGGCTGGGTGCTTCCCAAGGTTTGTCCTGTGCTTTCTCACTTTGGTGTTCTACCCAGGGCGAGCCCCTCTGGCCCCAGAGATGATGCCAGATCTCTTTCTAGGTGGACCTCACCCCGGAGCTGTGAGCATGAATGCCAGCTGCCAGTCGGCTCCTTCCCAGACACCAGGTCACATATCTCCCAGGCCAGTGCAGAGGGTGGGGGCCTGGAGCTCAGGAAGGGCGTGATCTGGATGCCTGGCTCAGCATCAGGACCCTGTGGTGCTGCCTTGGGGGTGGGGGTGGGGACCATTGCTCGGAATGGGCTGCGTGTGTGAGCGAGGTGTCAGAGCTGGAACCAGCGGATACAGGAATGGATAGGACACACGGGAGAGGGAGGGGGATGTCAAATATCATCTGGGGTGAGGGGACAGAGAGGACGCGATGGGAAACACAAAGAGACTGGTGGGGGGAGGATGGTAAACCGCACGCTGAGCATTGAGTTGGAGGGACATCCGGGCTGGAAACACAGGCCTAGAGGTTCCAAGGAGAGGCTGGGGCCAGGGATGTTTGGACACTTCTGGGAACAGACTGTAATTAAAATTGTGGATGTGTATGAGCTTGTCTGGGGCAAGAGGAGGGAGCCATGAGCGCTGGGTGCAGCTCAGGGAGCCCCGTAGAGACGCCCAGTCCGCAAAGGCAAGGGCGTGGCTAGTGCAGAGGCAGAGTTGAGGGGATGGAGCAAAGGAAAGGCCACCTGGGGTGAATGTCCTGAGTTGCCACGAGGCTAAGCTGTCTGAAGCAGACCGTCTATCAGGCAAGCTACCGCCCAAGGCCAGGGCCAGGTGTGGGTGTGACCTGAGATGAGGAGATAAGACAAGGTGGGGGGGGGGGCGTGCTGATTCCACACACGGTCCAGAATGTAACGTAGAACGTGTGGGGTGCAGAGAGAGGAAGGGCCAAGCCCGCATCACCGGCTTCCGGTGACTGCAGCACAGCTGGTCCTTGAATGAGCGAGGGAGCCAGAGGGGTGGGGGTGGGGGGTAGCCAGGTGGAGGAGCGGGGCCTGCAGGGCCTGGCTGGGGGCCTGACAGCAGGTGGGGCTTCAGGCCAACGGCTTGGGAGCAGTCAGCCCTCAGCTGCCCCTGGGGGGCTGCCTGGAAGAGGAAGCCTCTGGGACCTAGCACCTTAATTCTCAAGGACTCCGTGGAAGGAATGCGTGAACGAATGAGGGACTGGTAAGTGTGAGCACTGAAGGCAAAGAATCCGTTCCAGAGGGCAAAGAATTGGGCGAAGTTCAAGTAGTAACTGGCCAGGTGTAAAATCTTGCAAAGCCCGCGCAGGAGGAAGCGGAGACGTGGCCTGCAGCCCCCGCCGAGCGGTCACACGGGACAGATCGCAAGTTTCGGAAAGGACAGGGGAGGAGGTGGGAGAAGGATTCTTAAAAGTCTGGGGGCACCTGGGTGGCTCAGTCGGTTGAGCTCAGGTCATGGTCTCACAGTTCGTGGGTCGAGCCATGCACTGGGCTCTCTGCTGCCAGCGCGGAGTCTGCTTTGGATCTTCTGTACCCCCTCCCCCCATCCCTCCCCTGCTTGTGCTCTCTCAAAAATAAACAAAAAAAAATTGGTGAGGAAGGAGAGACACTGAGATAGACAGAAAGCCATGTGAGGAGGTCCGGGAGATCTAAATTCCAGATCCTAGTGGAGTAGTCCTGGGAAAATCCAAAGGATCAGTTGGAGCTGAGCTCCTGTCAGGAGATGAATCCACATCAAAGTGGGGTCCAACTCTTACTAATTTAAAATAAATGCGGGGCACCTGGGTGGCTCAGCTGGTTAAGCATCTGACTCTTGATTTTGGCTCAGGTCATGGTCTCATGGTCTCTGACAGCGCAGAGCCTGCTTGGGATTCTGACTCTCTCTCTCTTTGCCCTTCCCCCACTCGCTTGCCCTCTCTCAAAATAAACTGTAGGAAAAAATAAATAAATGCAAATCTGGGAAGAAGCTGTAGGTCTAGTAAATAAGAAAACCTTGTTCTCTGACCGGGTGGCAGAGATTCCAGAGGCCAGGAAGGTTCTTGGAGGTGAAGCAGGGCACCCTGGGAGCCCCCGGCAGCCTGTCCGATGCCGCCAATGCTGTCCAGTGAGAAAAGCCAGGACTCGATTCTATGCCATTTCATTTTATTACAATCCTGTCCGCGTGTTCCAGAATGAATGGCTATTTGATACACAACCCAAAGCACTCCTAAAACTGATCTTGTTAACATTCCCATTTTTTCCTCAGATTAAATCAAAAGAAAAAAAATGAACCTTGAAAAAAAATCACCAAGTTTAGTATATCCCAGAAAGAGCACCTTTACTAAACAGAAAACAAAAAGCATCAGGAACCTGACCAAATTACACAAAAGCAGCAGGTAAGATTCCTGATGGAAAGGAAGGACTCCCAATGGAACATAAATAGATCCCCCTCAAAGAACACAGATTTCACAGGAGTGTGCACATACATACGTAATATATTAAAAGAAATTTGGTTTCTACCACAAAGATATTATTCAGAAATAATAAATCAATATCTCATCCGAGACTGGGGAAGTGGAGAGGCTGTACCCCACCCTCGCACACACCTCCCCTCCATGTGCTATGTGCACTTGCTAGGTCAGGGCTGGGGCCGGGCCCTCTCTCGGCCCCAGCCGCAGCCCCCGACACCTGGCAGATCCAGTGTTTGTAGAGAAGTGAGCCAGGGAAGGCAGGTCTCAGTGTGGCCCCCAGAGGCCCCTGTGGGGAGCCCAGGAGCCAGCTGCAGGGAGATGGGTGGCCAAAGCCTGAGGCCACTTGCCACATGCCTAGAAGGCCGCCTTAGCCCTGGGATGAAAGGGGATTGCTCGGGACCCCAGGAAAGACGCGGCAACACTCCTGATTTCCAGCAGCAAGCCTAATTCTGGGGTTCCCCCAAGATCCTCAAGCTCCTTGTAGTTTGGCCAGTCTGGATGACTCCTAGGACCAAATGGCTTTGGGGAAAGGGAATGGAGTTTCCAGAGCCACAAGGGCTTGGCCACGCGGAAGTGTATCTGCGCACACGCAGACACACATGCTCGCACTTAAAGAGAGGTCGACAAGTTGCAAATTGAGTGTTCTACCGGGTCACACTCAGTATCTGCTTCATGGCTGTCGCTGCATCCTGAGTGTCCCCGTGAAGTGGATCTGTTCAAAAGACCAGCTACTGGAAAGCTACAGAAGACGCACACCTGGGAGTGTGGCCATCGCAGGGCTTGGCACAGTGTTTTCAGTAACAAGACAGGCAGGAGAGACACAGGCGCAGCTGTCATCCCAGAGCCCTCTCCTGCCCCCACAGGCGGGCAGAGGCCGGCACCGTCGGGGGGTGGGAAGTCAGTAGTTTCAAGGTTCAGGAGCTGCTGGTCCAGAGGAGTCACACGCAGCCGTACTCGTACCACACCGTCTGCTGGTCCCCGCCAGGCTCGGGGGACGCCGGCGTGCTCTTCAAGCTGCTGCCACGGCTCGAGTCCTCGGGGGCCCGGCTGGTGTGCGGGGCCGCATCGGGGGACCTACCTGGGCTCTTGGCAGGGAGGCCCTCGCCGTGGCCTTGCCTAGGGACCCCATCCCCGTCTGAGAGGCCGAGCGCACCCCGGACGGGGGCGATGGTGGCCGCCTCCCCGGAGTGGGGGGGCGTCTGGGGTTTGGTCCTGGTGGCCAGGGCCGCAGCGGCCGGGGGGAAGTGCTGGGGCTGGGGGCCGCTGCTGCAGGCACCGCCACCTCCTGAGGCGATGGCCGGGGCCGTGGCCGACTGCTGCAGGGGGGCCAGCCTCTCCTCCTTCGGGGGGGCCAGTGAGAAGCGCCTCGTGTCCGGGGGCCGGCTGCGGGGGGCAGGGCCCTGACCGCAGCTACCGCCGGTCTTTCCCGCAAGTGGGGGCCGCTCCCGGGCCAGGCCGTGGGAGCTGGGGGGCGTGAGGCTTCGCAGGACATGGCTGCCTGTTTCTCTGCCCCCTGAAGGGTCAGGCACCCCCAGCTTCTGAGGGGCCTCCTGTCTGCAAGCCTCTGGCCCGCTGGCCCGGAGGAGGTCGGCCGAGGCCAGGCTGAAGGCCCGGCTCAGGGACGCACTCCGGCTGGCCGGTGTGTGGGACGTCGGGGGCATGGTGGCCTGCCGGGGTCTGCCCAGAGACAGGCTCTGGGGAGGCTGGGCCTGCCGCGGGGGGGCACTGGGCAGGGCCTCGGACTCCGCAGGTCTCAAGTTTGGCTTCACATACTGTCCAGGCTTCAACAACTTCCCTTCAGGGCTGTTGACAGGCATCTTGATGGTCGGGGCCACAAAGCTGGTGGGCATCTTGGCCCCTTCTTTCCTGGCAGGTGGTCCCGGCTGGCCTCCAAGGGCTGGGGGCTCGCTGGCCTTTCTGAAGTAGTCGGTCAGCAGGTCATCCTGGAGACTGGGAGCGTCCTACAGAGAAGGGAGGAAGCAGGGAGAAGTGGGCATAAGGCCCAGGCAGGTGCCGGGACAGCCGTCCCCACCCCAGGGCATCCCCCTGGGCGGCCCAGGTGGCCAGGACTCAGGTTTCCTGCTTCCTGCTAGGCCTGAGGCAGAACGTCACCCCCACCACACACACTGGTCAGGATGGGGAGCGGGCTACACAGAACACCAGGGAGAGAACCCCAGACGCCACTCCGGCAGCCCCCTAACTTCACAAACAAGACAGACATCCAGACGGGGCGCCTGGGTGGCTTAGTCGGTTAAGCGTCCGACTTTCGCTTAGGTCATGATCTCATGGTTCGTGGGTTCGAGCCCTGCATCGGGCTCTGTGCTGACTGCCAGCTCAGAGCCTGGAGCCTGTTTCAGAGTCTGTGACTCCCTCTCTCTCTGACCCTCCCCTGCTCACGCTGTCTCTCTCTCTCTC